CCTCTTCCTGCCGTGCCCACTCCACCGCGCGCACCTGTTCGCGAACGATGGTGGGAAATCCGCGGTCGGTGCTGCGCGACACGAGCGCCGCCGCGTCGGCTGTTGCGCTCGGCGGTCGCTGCTTCGCGAGCGCCCTGTTACGCTGCAGTTTTTGCTCAATCTTATTCATGACAGCATGAGGCACCTGCGTTTCGCTGAGGTTCACCTCCACAACGTTTTGGTTCTGCTGCAGCATGGACAAAATCGCCAGGCCCGCGGCGAGCGAGATGGTGTTGCACGAGAGGTCTATGCGCGCGAGGCGTGGGTGCTTCACCAACGTCCGGCAGAAGAACACAACCGAGTCATTGTTGAGCCCACTGCTTGGGACGTAGAGCTCCCGCAGGTTCTCGTTCTTCGCGAGGAGACTCGTCATGGCCTGAAGGCCCACGGCGCCAAGGTAGTTGCGGGTGAAGTCCACGACGGAGCCGTGGCGAACAGTGTCGGCCCGCAACGCCAGCGCGGTGTTTACCTTGGCCTTGAGTGCGGCGTAGTTGGAGACGATTTCATCGTACGCCTCGCGGTCCTTCACGCCGAGCGGCAGTGTCTCCGTCGACTGCGGGCGGAACTTTGAGGGAAGCAGCACCGGGCTCTGGACGCCAGCCATCGCTCCCCGTTTCGGCGCTGTAGACGAACGAACCTACCTGGATGAGTGCAGCGGCAAGAACAAGGGAGAAGGGACAAGAAGAAGAAAGAAAACCAACCATATGGTGAGAGTGCGAGGGAGAGAGAGAAAGGGTTCATTGCCATGGTGCTTTTGTTTGCTGTTACTGCCGCTATCGCCCCGCATAGCCTGCGCTGCTGTACGCGTTTCGTCTCATTCACCGTTTCCTTTTTTCTTTGTTTCCCCCCCCCGTTCTCTTCGCGTTGCTGAGAAATTCCTCTCCTCTCACTTAATCATTCGCGGTGGCCAGCAGTTCGTCATCTGTCATGACGGGCGGCAAATTCCTGTCGCTCTTCGGAGCGCCGTCGTTCTTCTCCCTCGCCACCTCGTCGGCCTCATCTGCGTCACCGACGCCATCATCCTCATCGTCGTCGTCGGCGGCGGCGGCGTCCTCTTCCTCGTCTTCCTCCTCCATCTCCTCATCGTCGAGCGCCGCGGCGAAGACACCGTTCGGGCAGTCCGTCTTGCCAATGAGTCGAGCCACCCATGACTTCTCGGGGGCGATGAGACCAACGAAGTTCGTGAAGTCGGCGGTGGCGACGTCGAGCAGCTCCTCGCGCCGCACCGGCCCGGTGCCACACAGCGAGCAGCCGTCGCGCAGGAACTGCTGCTCCGTCAGCACAAGGCGGCAGCGGCGGCACGCGAGATACGCGCGGTCGCCAATGGGCAGCTGCGGCGGCGGCTCCTCGGCCATTTCTCGCTGCAGCAGCAGCACACACACACACACACACACACAGAGGGGTAAAGAAAGAGAGGGAGAGAGAGAGAGAGAGAGATAAGGTGGGGCAGTGCGCAGAGCAGCTGGTTGCATAGGGACAACGAGCAGGGCGGGAGGCAAGAGACACGAGATGAGGATCAACTGAAACAATGCATGCGGTCAACTTTGTTCTTTCTTCTCTACCTGTTCCTTTCACTCACTCACTCAGACTCCCATCTCCCACCTATATGCGGACGCAAAATTTCGCCCTCAATTGTGGGGATAACGACGCCAAGCAGAACCCCCAAGGAAGCAACAAGACACACAAGCACACACGCGAGACGGACACACCGGCACGCTCTTCCGCGCACTCCTCTGCCGGCGGCGGCGGCGGCGTGGGGCCACGCTTCCGTCTGGTGTGTGGCTGCCAGGGAAGAAAGACATAATGGAGGGGGTAACAACAACAACAACAACAAGATGAAGAAAAACAAAACAAAACGAAAAAAGAAAAGGACAAGAGCCCAGAGGCGTGCCAGCTGTCTACGTCTGTGGACTGCACCAAAGTAATGGAAAGCAGAAGAGCAGACGAATGAAGCACGAGAAAAAGAAATGCACAAAAACAAAATGATACGACACGATCTTCTTCTGCAGGCGAAAAAAAAAAAAGGCGCAAACGAAAAAACTCACGGAGAAGAAACAAAGTGAAGGAGCGACTAACACACAAAAACAAAAACAAAAAAACAAAACAAAACAAACAAGCATATAAGTAGGAACAAGAAACAAAGAAGAGAGGAGTTTTGCTTTCAAGCCCACTGCGCTTTCATTTTTGTATCTCCTCCCCCCCCCTCCTCCTCCTTCCCCTCCTCTCTTTTTCTTCTAAAACCACTGGATCACTATTTTCGTTTTTTTTTTTTTNTTTTTTTTTTTTTCCAATATTTCTTGCTCTGTCCTCATGCCGTAGCATACGATGAGGGCATTGGGCCCGACAAAAACTTTAAACGGCTGGCGCCCATGTTTCAACTGGGCCCTTCCGTCTGTCGTCTGTGCCCCCCCCTCCCAAACTGAACATGGGCCTTGTGTCCCTTTACCGCTCGCCCTCGCTTGCTGAATTCTTCTTGAGCCTAAGGTGCGGGAGGACGGTCTCCACGTTGGCGCGGAGACCGCGCCTCTTGTCATCATCACCGCGCGGCCACCGTCTCATGCGATGTTTGCTCCTTCTATGCGCAGCGGAAACCATCGGGTGTGAGACCCGGGTGAACAGAGCCACACCATCGGCGTCACCGCTGTTGTTGCTGTTGCTGTTACTGTCGCTGCTGCTGAGATCACTGATGGTGCTGCCATCAGATGCCTTGCTGGGTGCTTTTGCCGTTACGGTGATTCCGTCAGGAGCGCCAATAGCGTTCAAGACCCGGCCGTCCAAATTGACATCAGCACAGGGCGAGTTATTCGCACCACCACCACCACCACCGCCGCCGCCGTCGATGCCGTCATCGCCTTTGTTGACGTTAAGACTATCACTGTTGTCTTCGTCGTCACTGAGACACAAGGGTGGACTATCCGGATCACGAGCGGCGATGTCCAGCTGATTTTCCTTTACGAAGGCCGCGTGTGAGGACCCGATTGGCGGCAGCGGCGTCGGTGGCTGCTCGAGTCGGGACAACGGTGGTACCAGGGTAAAGGGGGACGCCTGCTCCACCATAGTGCGCATTCGCTTTGGAAACGATGTCGCGCCATCCTCGTGGCAACTGCCGCTCTTGGAGGTGTTAACGTTAAGACCCTCAACGCCCTCAAGCTCGTCAACATAACGTAACCGGGAGGCGTAGAACCCACTACTACACGAGCTGGCTGTGCAAATACTTGCATTGGGCGAGAACAACTCATCGTGGCCGAGTCGCATATTCACTTCCGCCAGCATGGTCTCACTGAACCGGCCAGCAAACATCGCTGGCATGATAGAGCGGTGCTTAAAAAAAAGGTAATCACGTATATCACGTGAGTTGCTGCTTCCAAACTCTGTAGGAAACATTTGTGGTTGAAACCTGTCAAAAAGTTCAAGAATGGCCAACACAGAGGAATGAAACATGGTATTCTTCCTTGTTCCACCCAAACTGTTCCACGCTCTGAAGATGTAGCCAAATGTGTCCCTCTCTACGGTGAGTGTGCGACATATCATTGTCACTAACGTCTTGGAGAGTGAAGACGAGACGTACATGGTACCGAAAGGGGTATCGGCGCCAAAGCCGTTGGCTCCTTCGAAGCGCCGCGGCGAGGCGGAGGGAGGTGGCACGATTTGCGTGAGCACTGTCTTGAGTAGACGCATATTGCCCACCAGCACATCGTTACAAACCAACTTGCTGTTACGACTCGCAGCGTCGGAGCACACTTCGATGAATTGCAGGACTCTGGACTTGCTGTGAAAGATCGCCCTGAGAATCAGCTCCACATTTTCAAAACTTCCTTGAGCTATGGTGAAGTCCAGCACGCGAATAAGTGGGGACGAAATGCCTGGCGGCAATCCGCCCAGCGGTGCGGTCGCCACATGCATGAGAGCATTCGACGCAGTTCTGTTCATCTGTAGTGTGTTGGGCGGGGCGGGCGGCACCGGGACAATGACGCCGCGCACTCCCTGCGTCAGGTACTTCTGTATGAAGAGAGTGTGGAATCTGTTGCGCTTGTCGAGTATGTCCGGGTCCATCACCACCCGGGCTGCTGCCACCGGGCCATCCTCGCGCAGCCCCAGCACGTGAAATGCGAGATAGGGATTGTAGCAGCTCATCGGATCACGCAAAGATTTCTTACTCAACGCCCCGCCACATCCAACAACAAGCTGCCGAAATAAAAAAGTCATGAGACCGTTGTACTTGGGTGGATCATTCAGAATAGGAACTCGAATGTACTTGTTCATAAGACTCTCGTCCTGTTTATCGCACAACTGTACAATGATGACATCTAGAAGAGCAACTAATTCTTGTTCCACTGACGAGGAGTAAAAATTGGCACTGTTGTACACAGCCGAGGGGTGGGAGAATCGTCTCGTCGCCAACTGCTCCTCATCCTCTACGCATTCGCCGCTACTCACACCATTGCTCTTTCCTGGGGAAGGGGCAAAGAGGGCGGTGCTTCCAAGCGGCATGCCATAGCGCTCGGCCACCAGTGACAACGCCTCCAGAAGACCAGTATGGAATACCTTCGCACTTAATACCAAGAGGTCCTCCCGCTCCAAAATAGAGAGCGCAAGGTTGAAGAGACTGCGCAAGAATCGAAGATGCGAGATAACCTGCTGCTCTGCCCGAATTGTTTGCTCCATGGCAACTGTGGAGGAAGTGGAACCACTCCGTGGTTGTTCATCTGACGCCAGGGAGGATCCACTCGCAGTGCTACCTATTGGTGAGACACGATGTCGGACGGCTGCTGGCGGCAGCGATGGTGGCACAACGAGGAGGGCCTCCTTAGCCTGCATTAGCACCTCATCCTTCTCCAATAGCAAGCTGATGGCCTCGTTCTGTAGTCGGTGGCACACGCGACTGACTTTTTGCGAGATCTCTTCCGAGGTGCTAATTGGCAACACATCTGTTTGCAAGTGGTGTAGACGAAGGGCTTTGCCAATGATGGTGGTGAATGCTTCTGAAACATCCAGCTTTCTCAGACCTTGCGGAATTTGCCATGGATCAGGCACTTCCACGTTCAGTCCCTTGGCTAGCATCGTGTACGCCTCTTCCGAAACCAGAATCTCTAAAAGATCGTCATTGCATATATCTAATAGTACCAGTATTGTGTTGGGGTCATGGTAGAGATCCGGATTTAATGCGTGTCCATATTCCATAATAGACAAGGAGAGAGCATGCCGTTCTACGAAGCCAAGCGGAGGATCGTACTCATTGTGAATGTAGTAAGAGTACGGGAAAAGAATATTCCCCCTTTCCAGGTACCGCCGCTTTAAGGCATCCGTTGTAGCATTAGCAGCTTCTTTGCTCTCGATAGGTCTGCACAGCTTAAGTAAGTCAAATCCAAATCTTGGATAGGGCTTATTCTGAAGCGCCACTAGCGCACTCCAGGTGGCGGCGTAGCTTTCCTCCGAAGAGAACATCAGACAAAACGATAACTGCTGTTCCAGGCTATTCCACACGAGGCATCCACCCTCTCCAACGAATGGGGTGTCCTCGGTGACAAGGTCCTCCATGATGATTTCCCCATGCTCGTTTAGACTCACGATTGTCGGTTCCACGACAACAGGCTCCATGCCAGAGGATCCACTGTGCACCACCTCATCACTTTCCTCCTCACCGAATCGTTCAATATATTCCTCTGTCGCGCCATTTCGACAGTTGCCGATCTTGTTTTTGCTCATGCCGTCACTGAGGCACCTGCGCAGGAGGGCTGACGGCGGAAGCGACACGACAACAATGAGAAGACCGCACACCTCTACGTATCCCTCGCCTTGTTCTACCCACTCATTCTCTGCCCCCAGAGGCTGTGAAAGAACTCGCGCCCGGAGCGGCACCAGCGATGTTGTGTGAGATGTTAATGTTGACTGTGCGTTGAATGATGATGTCATTGTAAAGGGCCACCTTGAGGGGCTGGTGCTCCGTGCCTTGGTACCGACTGCCTCGCGACTCCGTCCATCCCGCTTACTCGCACCTCGGCGCCGGTCCGTTGACATTCCCCTCCGCTCTTATTCGCCTTCAGCCCCACTTGTGTGTGGCAGCCCCGCCTTCTGCTGCTACAATGAGAATGTGGTGCACCCTCCACGGAACAAGTGTGTCTGCAGCACGGCAGCGCTACTCACTAGTTTTGAAGGAAGAACTAAAACAACAAGACCACAGAGGAATCCACTTTAGAGAGGAGCTTGCCGCAGCGTAGACGACTCTACAGACAGTGTACTACAACACATACAAAAAGGATAGCCACAAAACACATCCATGCAGAGAAAGAGAAAGAGATAAACACACACACATATACAACCATGCGTGCCACTTTTTCCTCTTTCGCTCTCAGTAGCCGATGCAGGCGAAAAGCGGCTCAAAAGTAGTGATCTCCCTTAAAGCGACTGCCGCGACATACGGGCAGCCAAGGGAGTCCATCGTCAGCACGAGACCCACATTGCACGTGCCAAGCAGCGACTGACGGCTTTGTGTGCCATTTTCCACCTTTACTCCGATTCCCTCAACGTTCTCGTTTTCATCATCTTGTAGAACAAGACAGGGACAGAACATGAGCTCATTCGTCACCACCAGCGAGAGACTCTCGAGACGCCGCAGGAGATCTGAAAGAGTCGCCAGTTCATCATCATTCATCTCGTCGCTGGAACCCAAAGTGGCGCTGCACGGTGCGTGGCGAAGCCGCGACGGTACAAAGTATTTCATCGGTATCTCCAGCACGGAACTGTCGGGTCGTCGCCGCCGGTCACCAATGGGCCTAATCACCCCGCCCACAGACGCCACCACCTCGCCAATGTGGTACGACTTACCGGCAAACACCCGACGGGGAACGCCCTTCAACAAGGACTGCAGTGCAAGAAGGGCTGCGGTGTTCTCACCGTCGTCTTCACCGCTGTGCCGGTTATCGCTCTGAGCAGATGTCTTGCTGATGCAGAAAAGATAGTCCGTGGTGCTAGAATCCTCTGTCTTTCCTCCACTCACAACTTCCTTACCTTCCACTTTAGCTCCGTCGATATCGCGTTGTTGCTGGGTTTCGCTGGGCTGCGGCTCCTCCTTCTGCCACAACTCTTCCTTCTTGCGCCGGACTCGCGGCTTCCGACCCCTCCGCTTCGGTTGCTCCTCTACTCTTGCCTCGTCCTCCGCCTCGTCCCTCTCACGCTTTCCCTCGCCTGACTGCCTATTGTCATCCTCATTAACAGTGGTGACACAGTAGAGAAATATATTTTCGTGCATCTCGAATTTTGAATGCTTCCCAATTGTAGAAGAGGGGATAGCAGGGTCCCAAACTTGCCAAGAGAGAAAGGGGACATTAAGCGGCCAGTTGACCAACTCAGAGGCAAACGAAACCACAGGTCCTTGTGTACCGCTTCCGTTGGTGTTGTTGTTGTTGTGGTTGTTGTTGGTAACAGAGGAGCTACCATCCGAGGTGGAGGCGGTGGGCGACCCCGGGGCACTTCTGTCATCCATGGCTGTCTGCTGCTCCGTCATTCTCGGCGGCGAGAACGGCACACACTGTTCGTTCCGCATCACCGACCCCTGCAGGTCGTCACACCCTAGCGGGGAGGTGCAGCAAACTGCCACCAGACGGGCGCGTTGCAACCGAGGCGTCTGACAGGCAAAACAGTGGTCAATGCGGACCGGTGTGGGGCTACCAATGCTCCATGCCCCGCATTGTGGGCACTCCCACAGCAACTCCATCGCAGCGCCTTCGTCACCTGCTGGGCTTTTATCACCGGACGCCCCACAAAGCGTCCGCGCCTCATCTTCTTGGCCTTTCAAGTCAAGGCCACTGTTTTCTATGGAACGGACAACACACCCATTCATTTTAACTAAATCCCGTTCGGGGCGACTGTTTTGTTCGCACCGCCTTTCCTGCGCGAGTTGTGGAAAAGGGACAATGCCACCGACCCGATGGCGCGTGAGTAGCTCGCCCCTCAACCCCACCCACGGACTAGGCGAGAGACTATGCGCCTTACCATATGACATGAGTATCTCTTCCCCCTTGTTGATGATGCGCCGTGAGACCAGAGCGGTGTACGCCTCACCGCGAGGTGTGAAGCGACTTTCCGCGCTCAGATTCGCCGAAAGCCCTTCAACACCACGGGGATCATTCGCAAAGCGGCCGTAGTTGCCGACGAACTCCGCGTCCAACGCATAGTCATCCCCAAGGGAGCCGAAACCCATTGTGTATGTTCTAGAGCTGCAAGAGGTGCTGAAAATTTCAATGTAGCCGCTATACGGCGTCACGACAGTGTTGGACGGGATTGTTTTCTTTGCAAACAAACCGACCTGGCCGTATGCAGGGTGACGTGGGTCCGTCAAGACGCGAAGCTCAACGTATTGCTCTGGCAGATATGACGATGGCGAGAAGCACGGAAAAACTTCAGAATCCACAAGACGCCGCAGATGGGCAAACAGCTCCATGTAAATGATCATGCGGTCGTACTTGCTGATGGACGGGTCGAAGGCAAGAAAGTGCCGCGCGTTCTCCCCGGCGTGAAATTTAAGCGATCGCCGTGCTGGCGCACAGCGGAGAGGCTGCGCAGACTCCATCCGTGTGAGAGAGCAGCGCAACAAAGGGGGATGGCAGATGCCGTTTTTCTTGCGGGTATAGTTATATGTGTGTACGTGTCTATGCGTGTATGTATGCACCTCACAGCCTGCAGCTTCGCCCTTCTGACTTGTGATCACCAGCAGACGCAATACACAAAAAAGGGGAAAGAAAAACAAAAAAAAATTACAACTACACTCACAAAGATAGATTCCCAAATCACACATTTAAAGCATCGTACGCTTCTCTTTGCGACCCTAAGGAAAGGGCGGTACAACGTAACGATTAACCGAAAATACTTAATCAACTGATATTTTGCACGCGAATACCCATTCCTAAATCTCTCCTAAAAGCAGCAGTCACAATCAAAAGGGCAATTGGGTGTCGTGCCAGCTTTGGGATTCGAGGAGGTGATCTTCTGCAGCTCCTCTAGGGTGATGACACGATCCACACCTTCTCGTCGCAGCACATCTTCCGGAACTTCAGTAGTCGTCGACTTCTTCTTCTTGCACCCCTTTTGTCGCAGTGACGATAAGTCGAAGAAGGCCGCATCACTCAACTCGAGCGTCTTCTCTGGTGCATGGTACAGACCGTCACCAGTCGGTTTGTCGGAGTTCTTGCTTGTGCCGCTCTGCACCGTACCGCTATTCCCACTAATGTTCCCACTATTTTTGTTGTTGTTCTTGTTATTGCTGCTGTCATTGCCCCTTTGCTGTTTCTTCCTTGTGATGGCCCCAAATATGTCTGCAATGGCCGATTCCTCCCCAGAGTTCATGACTATTTTTCCGCCCCTTCGACCTGTTCCCGTTCCCGTGGCCACACAGTTTACTGCACTGCCATCATGCTGCTGCTTCTTTGCTTTCTTCTTCATCGCCAGCTCTACAAAAATTAAACATACGTTCATACCGTGTATGCATGTGTATGTGGAGGGAATACGGGAGTGACAAACAAACCGTGTGAAAGAAATTTACTCTCTTTCTTTCTTTCTCAAGACACCTCTGCGCAATCCCAGTGTTTCGCACTAACATGGGGAATGGTGGACATTCCTCGTTACAATATTCAGGTAAATCCATAATGACAAATGAGACAAAAATATCCTCATACTCCGAATTCACTACTATCCTTAAAATATTATCACATTTCTCTTCTTCGTCTGTCATCTTCGCATACCCGAATTGGTGGCAAAACGTCAACACAAATCACTTTCGTTGAGTATCCTTACCCACGACCAGTGACAAACTTAGTGAGCAAACTCCTCAGGTTCCTGCGAGAAGGCGGTGCCCGCCATTGTCCGCTCGATCTCCTCTACTGTACGTGGGACGACGGTCATGTTAATGGCGCCACGCTCGGTGATGAGGATATCGCTCTCAATACGCACCCCGCCAAAGTCCCACAGAGAGCGCAGCTTCGCCTCGTTCAGGTGCGTCTTGTACTCGGGGTTCTGGAATGCGTCGGTGAGGAGCACACGGTTGATGTAGCAGCCAGGCTCCACTGTCAGGAACAGCCCCTTCTCCAGTACGCGAGCCATGCGAAGCTTGCAGCAGTCGCTCTCCGCGGGACGTGAGGGGCATCCCTCAATGTAGCCGCCAACATCGTGGACGTCCATGCCGAGAAGGTGTCCAAGGCCGTGCGGCTGAAAGAGGCCCATGATACGTTTTTGCATGATGGTATCCACGTCGCCGATGAGGATCCCGGCCCGCACAAGATGCTCGCACATGACGCGCAGCGCCAATTTATGCATATCAACCCAGTTCACACCTGGTTTCAGGTTCTTCAGCACGGCGTTGTGGGCGTCCAGAACAGCGTTGTAGATGATCCGCTGGTCTTCCGTGAACTTGCCATTGACGGGGAAAGAACACGTAATATCGCTCGAGTAGCCCGCGTACTGACCACCCATGTCGAGAAGCGCCATGGATCCATTCTCAACAGGCGCGTCGTTATTCGGGTAGTGAAGAATGGCGCCGTGGTGACCGGTGCCACAGATACACGTGTATCCCACCTTGCGGCAGCCGCCATAATAGTACACGTAATGCAAAAAGGTAGACTCGAGGTGGTGCTGCGACATGCCAGGCTTGCAATGCTGCATGACGTGAATATGCGCATCACTCGAGACCTTGCAAACATAGCGCAGCAGCTCCACTTCAAGGTCTGTCTTGTAGCAGCGTTGGCTTGACAGCGTGTTGAAGAGCCAACTGGTGGAGACGCGCAACTTGGACCCCGCCGGCAGTTGTGCCGTCATCACCTCGAGACCGCTATCGGAGTTCACACCACTCATCACCTCGACTGTCTGCACGCCCTTGGATGTAAGAACAGTGTTGATCTCGTCGGTGTAGTACACCTCCTCGACTTCTGTGGCAGCCTTCACGCTCTCCGGCGTGGGCAGCTCACCCATCCATACCGCGTACGACTGCGGGTATCGGGGAATGAACAGAACGCCCTTGCCGTCTACGAGAACGGCGCCGAAACTGTCGGGGATATTGCAACCAAAGAGGTATGCGAAGTAGCTTTCCTGCCAGAAGAGGTAGTTGATATCCGTCGAGTTCACAGGCACCTCTGAGCCGCCCTGAAGAAAGGCGGCGTGCGAGGCGTCCATGCAAGAGCGCATCGACGCGCCGAGGCGTAACCGCTGCTCGCGGTACATCTCACGCTTGACCTTGAAAGGGTACGTCGAATTGTAGGAATGAGTGGCCATGGCGCTTCTTTTCCCTTTGTTCCGAATATTTAACCTTCTTGAGTGTTTTTCTTTTTCTAAACCTAAACTGGTTTGACCTCGGTATATATATATATGCGTGCCGATGCGATTCCGAGGCCGAACAGGCAAGATAGTTTTCAAAAAAAAAAATAACACACACACGCACGCGCACACACTTTGAAAAAAAAAACACGTTACAAGCAGAAACAAACCATACATACGTAGAATCCCTATTCAGGAAGTTCTGGTCTCCCCCTCTTCAGCTCTAGAGACACTCCTTCCAGGAAGCAACACAGAAAAAGAGCAGTATGGGTGCAGCAATATCCGAGCTGATTATTATTTGCTGTGTCCATTGTATCCTTGTTGCCGGCATCATAACACTTCCTTGCAGAGGCGACTATGTGTTTGGGCACGTATATATATATATATATATATGAGGCCGGCGTGTGTATGTCTGTGCATACCGAATTTGTGCGTACGTGTCTACCGTTCTGTTTCGCTGACGTAAACAATTCCGTACTCCTTCATGCGAGGCTCTACATCCAGAGCAGTTAACGTCAAGCTGAATCCATCGCACCACTGCCGGAGCACAACCTCAATCTCCCTTTTCACAGTGGGGCAGATAGCATCTCTGCCGATGGTGATGAGGATACTGTCACCATTGTACAGAAACGCTACATGCTTCACTAAATGGATAATCCTATCACGGAGCAGGTCGGTGGACACCGCGGCGTGGGGCGGGCGATGCACCAAATAGATAAGTGGCTGCGGGGGCTGCACAAGACAGTCCGCTTCATCATTCTCGAATTGTATACTGAACACGCAGCCGTATAGGGGAGTGATGCCGCGCAGCCGACGATAGTCCGCGCCCACCTGTGCAAGTTCGCTCTGCACATAAGCAAAGAGGGCCCCGGTCATAAACGCATCGTATGCGGCATCATGTTCCCTACCAGCAACCTCCGAGACTTCATACTCCTTACCGCAGTGTATATTCACGGCATTATTTTGCCGCTGAAGTAGGATGTAGGTTTTCTTTAGTGGGCCTTTCATGTTTGGTATGTGTTGCAGCGACTGGGCGCAAGTTAAGGTTCGTGTGTCGTAAAACACGGGGAAAATTTCCCTAATAAGCCGCTTGAATGTCTTAAGCGTCTTTGGCGGGTCACAGTGCATGGCGCAACAGAGAAATGCCAGATCTGAAAGCCCATTATGTATCACTAGCGGCTTTTTCTCGTGTCGTGTTGCTGTCACCAAAGCCTCTAAAACACGAGTGCCGAAGTATCGCGGATTGCTGTTAAAGTTCAGGCTCTCCAGGGAGACTGTCAGCGGCACCTTTGTTAGCATCCTTCGCGCGTGGCGTACCCCAATGCCCTGCAGCAGATTTGCCAACTCGGCGTGGTGGGGCTGCACTATAAATGGGAGTCTTGATTCGATCGAGTCCCCCACCTCCGCAAACTGCGCGAAACGCGCAATGCGGTCGTAGGCGCTTATAAGGTGCAACTTTAACTCCGGCACGGTGAGTGCATCGACCCACTTCTTAAGGGCGTTCAGCCCCGCGCCAAGGTCCTCCGACGGTGACGGTAACACATTCCCTTCGGCCCGCGCCGCCTCGCGCCGCGCCTTGGCGTAGTTTTCGAACGGCTCGAAGTGGAGGCCCTCCGCCACCCACCGACTGAAGTCCATATTATTCTTCTGCAGGAACATAATCGTCTCCGCCGACAGCGTCACCGTGCGGTCCTCCCCGTCTTCGCCCGAGGCGGGGAACAGGTAGCAGGAATAGCCGCGCACGAAAAGGTGCCGCTTGCACGACTTAATGTCCGTGCTCCATCGCTTCGCAATAGCTATCGCGGCGTCAACCTCATCCAATGCGTGGTACGCCCGCAGTTGATCGTAAATCAACATCTCGCCGCCCCTCACACATGCGCTCTCTACTTCCTGTCGCACTGCTGTCATCCTGGCGAGATCCTCAGGCTCCACAGCACCCTTGGCCGCCAGGGACTCCAGCAGGGACTTCAGGGGCTGTGCTGCGGCCTCGGACGCACGAAAAGCTCTTGCCTCTTGGGCCATGATGGTACGGTAGGACGGTGATGCTTTGCCGTGCTCAGTCGCAAGCGTTCTTGTGTCGTCCCCCACATTTCCATCTCCGCTGAAGATGCTAAACCCGATCTGCATTGGACAGAACAGGCGTGCTGCAGCCATCTTCTCCTCGAATGCCTTTTCAGGTGAACGCAGGAAGTCAACCTGGGATGCATGATCAATGCCACTGAATTCGAGATCAATAGCGATATAGCTCGCTTCGCAGAGGTCACGCACGAACTCGGGAAAGAGTCCCGCAAAGTTTTGATTTGTGATGGATTTCATACTCTCAAATGCTCTACGGATATATATATATATATATATATATATATATCGGAGTGCTCGTGGGCGTGTAGTAAGAGGGAAAAAAAAGGCACCAATAAAAGAAAATAGAGAAGGAAACCAGGCTTCTCGTGATACAGAAAAAGGCCGTCAGCCAACGGTAGAAAGAGTCTGCAAAATCCCTTCACTCACCAGCTTCCCAGACACAAGCAGGGGGAGTGAGAACCGTCAAAACGACACACACACACACACATACATACAGTGCAAACAGAGGAATGAGTACACCGTTGTACATCACAAGCGCAATACTTCGTGTGTTAAAAACACGCGACTGGGTGACAACGAAGAGGATGTGAGGCGCCCTTCGCCACCGTCAATCTGCAAGAATTCCACCATGACATGCCATGGTGCCACATCCTCGCCATGAAGGCTGCGCCCCAAGTTAAGCACACTGAAGTGACTCTTCACCACCGCCTGCAATTGGCAGGGTCTCACGTTTACTGTCATTTTCTCCTTCCCACTGCTGCTCTTGCTCGGTAGCCTCACTGGGCTATAGAAACAGTTTCACAGGTGATTCCAGCGGGCCCACCACACCAAGCCGCATACGATATCCTTGCATCGGCATCTCCAGCACAACCACTGATACGTGACCACAACAAGGGCGGGGTCTGCGGTGCCGTACTGTCACCCACGGAACGCTGTGGCGTGCCTCTGCTGCTGTACGATGCGGGAAGCGACGTCGTCACCGGCCGGAACTTCGACACAGACGACGGATGCCACGCTTCACTCCAGTTCTCCTCGGCGCTGTGACCTGCGCCATGCGTTCGGCCTACTTATGGTGCAACACGCCTTTCGCGGCAGTGCCTGCGACGCTCGGCGTCTCGTGCGACATCAGGCCGGAACTGCCCGCAGCAAACACAATTACACATGCCATGCTGTTCGCTTCGCTTTGTTTCTGCTGCTTGATGGAAGCAGAAAACAAATGCCAGCAGCCAAGGGGATTGGTGGGGGGTGGGGGGAGTGAAACAAAAGAACGCACACATTGCCCGCGTGTGCGACGGCGTGGCAACGGTGCAATCACCGTTCTGTACCACCGTCTTTCTGTCTCCCTCTCTCTTCCGCATTATACAGAGCTGTACACAACAGCAATGCCAACCAGACCGCGAGCAAACACACATACGACACGGCGAAGTATGGCTTTGTCCTCACATCACAAAACAGCAGGCTTTCTGATGGTGCTTTGCCTTCTTGAGATTCTCCACCGCCACCTCGATGTTGCGGTTGCCCCTGTTGACATGCTCCTGCACCGTGAAGAGGCACTCGTGCTGCTCATACACGAGGTAGTGCAGCTCCCCAAAGAGCTTGAGGATCTCCTGCATCTCGCGCTCGAGTTCAAGCACAGCATCCCGTGTGCGCATCACCCGCTCCAGCTCGTCGCGAGCTAGGAAGAACAGTTGATCCTCGTTGCCCGTCGCGAGTAGCTTCTGCGCCATCCCCCGGGCATGGGCATCACCGATACCAGACGCAAGTGAGTTGTCGCAGTTATCGCCACCAGCGCCCGCTGTTGCAAAGCGCACTTTGACGCGCCGCGTAGTGACCTCAATGAGACGTTCCTCATGCACCCGCTGCGCCACCCAGGCGCTGTGCAGGTGCAGCATCAGCTGGCGCTCCATGAAGGCAACGATGTTGCGCCGCACCTGCAGCTCTGCCGTATTGAGGCGGCAACCGCTGCCGATGCTGATGTCGCGCTCCATCTGTTGCGTTGTATTGTCGTATACTGCTATCATCTCGCGACATGCGTGGCAGGAGGCGCCAACTTTCTCCACTGCGTTGTACACGCACTGCCGTGTCTCCGCGCGGCTCTCCACCAGCTGCGCGACGTGCAGCACGCCAAGCCCTTCCACCATCTGCTGAATACCAGAAAGGGCATCGAAAATGGGCTTCGTTTCGTTATCTATGGGCAGGAAGCAGCTGCTGCTGCTGCTGCTCACATTATTGGCTTTTATGACAGTAGTACTAGTAGTAACAGGGGCTGTTTGACTGTTAATGTACGCACGACATGGAACAAAGGAAAGGAACTCGGCCATGCGGTCGCGGGCCATTTCGCGGCCGCCTCTCCGAGCGCGATGCGCCGCCTCCTTCGCCAGTGTGCAGAGAGAAATAAACCAATAAGAAAAGAAAGAGGAGAGTGCTTCGCAAGCATATCCACAAACAACAAGGATATTCGTATATTTCCTTTCCACTCAGTGCCATTCCCTCTTTCTTCACTTTCTTCTGTTCACTCTCTCTCTTCCTTTATCGGCATGTGCTTAAAAAAAAGTCCGGCGCACGTCTTCCTGCACCAGTCCCCCTCTTCATTTTATTTCATTTAGTCGATCTCATCACCTTCTCTTCTTGATTACCCCCCTTTGAGCCACTTACTGAATGCCGTAAACGTGGAAAAGGCGTGTCCGGAGCTGCTCACTGTAGCGTGACAGCTGCTGCTGCCACTGTGGAGTGTTGTGTGCCTTCGCCGCCATCAGCAGCTCCCCCATCGCCCGTTTTACATCGTGTGAGGCTGTCGCAACGGAGAGGGCGAGATCAAAGAAGAGGTGAAGAAATTGTACGACCAGAGGCAGCTGCTGGCGCGCGGCGATCAGAAACCCACTCACCGCCTGCTCCTTGTGCGACTCCTCCCTCACATTTCGCATATACGCACAGAAGGCCTCGGCGAAGAGACCAAGGTGGCACCCTGGCTGGCTCTCCACACCCGGCGCCGCGTAAAGCATGAGGCCGAGGCAAAGGCATGTGTTCTCTGCCATATTGCGCATTTCCGCCGTGTGGGCGGTGGCGCCAAGGATGCGGGCAAGTGCAGCAAACAGTTGTGGTAGTCCATTGGCCGCGTCTAAAGTTGGCAGATTGTTCATGTCCATCTGGTTTTCCATCAGGTTGCACAGAAACCACGCCACGTTGCTGACGACACCGTACGTGTTTTCGTCAAGCACCGCCAGATTCTGCAGCGATGCCTTCACCACCTCCATCAGTACTTCTTGCACGGCGGCCGGGCAGCTCCTCGCGAGATCACTGAGGAGGGAGAAGCCGCCCTGACGTATTTCTGGATCTTCATCGTGCACCATCTCCAGCACCGTCACCACGAACCGCGGGTTGCACTGCAACACCAGCGGTTCTAGACCAGTGCCGAGTGCGTCGAAGAGCCCGGACAACAGGTCGGTGGCTGTCACGAGGAACTCGTACTCGGGCGGGTCTTGATTCATGCGCCGTGCCTCTGCGCGTGCCTGCACGTGTAGCACGAGCAGGCCGTAGGAGCGCTCGAAGATGTCCTTCGCCAGCGCCGGCTGCACCGCGGGGCCGAGCGCCCTGCAGACGCCGGACATACACTTGAAGAAGGAGAAGAGTAGCGGGCTATCGTTAGGTGTGCTGCCCCATATTTCGCCCAGTGGCACCATGAGTGCTTCCACGGCGTCTGGGCTGGCGCGCAGCTGCTCCCCCAGCACCTCACACACCGTCTCCAGCGTTTCGAATAGCAACACGCGGTTCTTGAGTTGATACCCGCGCAAGCACTTCACAACACAGTCCACGATTGCTGGAACATCATTGCTTAGCTGCCCCTCGCTGCATAGTTCAACCGTTTTCTGAAGTGCCGCAGTGGCTGCTTCCTGTAGGAGCTTGGAGGGACTTTGCATTTTTTGGAGAACGCACCTCAAAAAGCTTTGCAATTTCTCGGGTACATACACAACATACTTACCAATCTGCGTCATGGTCCAGAGCGAAATGGTTCCCACAAGGAAGTGTACAGAAGAGTCCTCCAGTAACTGGAGAAGCCGTGTGCTGATATCGGGGAGGTAAGGTGACATGGAGTCAAAGCAGCCGTCCATGATGGCTCCCAACGCCAAGATAGCAGCTTCCAATTCCTTCCATGGCTTGCTGGGTTGCATCATGCCGTCAATGACACCTAAAACAGTAAATATGATCTTTTCACCATAATGCTCGGCAATGGAGTCAAGCGTCAGCGCTGACACACGGCGAAGATTCCATTCCTCAACCTCCCCATCATCATCGTCATCATCGGCATCGTCGTCGTCCACACCCGCGTTATTTACGCGCGCCTGATAATGCCGTGGCCTGATGTCGTCCAACTTATCGGGGACATTCCAGTCCTCCGCGCTTGCCTGCAGCATGCCGATCTCCATATCGGAGTACACCATTGAGCGGATCAACACGGGAATCACCTTCTCTAGCGTTGGCTCCACAAGGACAGCAAATCTTGGGAAGCACAGCACACCACGCCAAAACTCAGTTGCCTCAATGCGCAGCTCTTCATCTATCCCACCCTCCGATATTGTGGCCATGATCATGAGGCTCGTTATTCGGTGAAACAGCTCATCAGAGATAAGGTCATGGTAACCAAGCGACAGGACGATGCACTTCACACACTTTGTTGACAATTGGTTGGAAGATGGATTTTGCAGGTTTATGAAGCAAGCGTCAATAACGTTCAGAACATGAGGCCCCATGCTGCTGTACGAGAAGCTGCTGTAGTCGATACCTGCCTGTTCCAACACCACAGCGGTGGCGTCGAATGCCTTGAGCTGCACTTCCATGCCCTCTTGCCCCGCCGGGGGAGCTCTGAGGTACGGCAGAATAGCATTCACCACTGCCCCGGTCAGTTGCCGCATGTCTAGTAGTTGCACACAATCGTCCACGATCTGTGACAGTGCACGCATCGCGCCGTGAACGGCGTGAGGCTCACCTGTGCGAGTTGTAAGGATTTCTGTGAGCGACTTTACGACAGGTTCCACAGGCCAGTACGTCTCCCTCACAGCGGAGCTGATGATGGTACAGGCAACAGCCCGTATGCTGCACTCGGGATCCACAACCGCGCGGCTCATGACTGACACCTGCAGCGTCGTGTTCTGTACGCATGAAGGATGCGAGAGGTTATTCTTCAGTAGGTACCCCACAAGCTGCCGGCCCCTCGTCGGAAGGCTGGCGTTCGTCAGGAGCTCCGCGCAGCTTGAGAAAAAAACATCTGGATTGGCTTTTAGTTGCTGTAGCTGCGTTTCGCCGCGATGACGAACGTCCTGGTTTGGGTCGGCGGCCGCGGCGAGGGCGTCAAGGATAGCCTGGCCTACGTTGCTCATTATGCTGAACAGAGACAGGGAAGAGAATTAGTGATGCGGAAGCCGTGAAACAAACAGCAGCGACCCACACAGACACACAAAAGCCCACACACACACACACACACACACA